GTCGAGCGCCGGACTCTAAAGCACAGCGCTGTCCAGCTCACTCACTGCTTCACACACACTGCTTCACACACACTGCTTCACACTCACACACACACACACACACTGCTTCACACACACTTCTTCACACCAAGCGTGCCGCACAAGCCCTCAAAAGTGAAGCCAAAACTTCTCGATCGCCCCCCAGTGCCTAGTATAGGTCATAAGCCCCGCCTCCCCATGTTATTCAACGGGACGTGAGACCAACTAAATAATTAAATTACACTTCACATATCTTTTTTCTAAAGATAGTTTCTGTCATTTACTGTAGTTTCTATCACGTTGATGTAATTTCAAGTGTTTGTTTTTAAAATAAGTTAGTTTTTAGTTAGTTATTTGATGCTATAAAAACGGTGCTGTGACATCATGATTGACAGCTGTGATTGACAGGTTCTCTGTGTGAAGTAGTCACTGAAGTACTAACGGACTTCTTTTCATAATGTTGACTATGTGGTAAGTAGTTGTATTTACCTTATTTTAATGAGGTACTGCAATCAGCAGACATCATTGGAGAGGAACGGAGCAGACAAGGCCACTTAAGAAAAGTGCAGGGCGTGTGCTTGCGATTGATTCAGCGAGAGTGGGGGCGGGGCCTTGATCTCGCGGCTTTACTTCCTGCTCACGACTGCGCATGACTGGTCCCGAAAACGCTACTGCGCAGACTCAAGTTCCAATATGTCAGCGCCATATCGGGACACTGGCGGCTTCAGTTCTCTCCAATGGAAAAGAGCGAAGGGGCGTCGCCCATCTTTTTTTACAGTCTATGCTTCACACACACACTGCTTCACACACACTCTGCTTCACACACACACTGCTTCACACACACACACACACTGCTTCACACACACACTGCTTCACACACACACACACACACTGCTTCACACACACACTGCTTCACACACACACTGCTTCACACACACACTGCTTCACACACACACACACACTGCTTCACACACACACACACTGCTTCACACACACACACACACTGCTTCACACACACACACACACTGCTTCACACACACACACACTGCTTCACACACACACACACACACACTGCTTCACACACACACACACTGCTTCACACACACACACACACTGCTTCACACACACACACACTGCTTCACACACACACTGCTTCACACACACACTGCTTCACACACACACTGCTTCACACACACACTGCTTCACACACACACTGCTTCACACACACACACACACTGCTTCACACACACACTGCTTCACACACACTCGTCTCTCTGCAGGCGTGCGTACGGGTCACTGTCACAGAAGCTCCAGGTCATGTTTCTCACCAGAATCAGGCGATAACTCACTGGATCTTGTATTTTCTCATTATTTCATGTTTAAACTGTAAACTCTTATTACTGGAATACAGTCATGAAACTCAAACCAGACATTTATAATTAAAATCAGTATTATATTGACTAGCATAATGTATACTTATTGAAAAAAATAGACTTTACTAAAGTACTTGTGTAATTTTACAGTTTTTCTCGATTGCTTAAACACATTTCTTGAAACTATGCGTCATATTCTCAAACCAGTAAACACAAATCCATAACTTCTCACCCAGTTCCCAAACATCCTATCAGGTCATAATGAACCATTCACTCTTGCTGATAAACCAAACCTGGCCCTCAGACAGCACACACACGCCTGCACAACACACACACACTACAACATAGTCTTACACACTGGTGCAATAAATTCAAAACAACATTTCCAAAACTGGTCAGTTATGTTGCTTGTGGTCCCCCAAACACACACACACACACACACAATTCTTTTCTTTTTTTTATGATTAACATTTTATTGTTTTTTCAGAACACTTAAACACACACACATGTCCATCCAAAAAATGAAGCAGTACTCATACAACAAAATAGAATGAAAGGAGGACATAGCACAACCATAGACAAAAACTGAACAATAAATACATTTAAAAAAAAAAAAAAAAAAAAAAAAAAAAAAAACAATGATGCACCTAGCCCATGAGTTACAGCCTTGCCTAAATGTAGGTACCGTACCGTATTCTATCAAAATGTATCCATCAATCATGTTTCCTAGTTAAATGCTATGTTTTTGAGCCGGAACGCCGTTAAACCTTCAAAGTGTACGAATGAAACTTCCCCCATTTCAAGTTGTACTCCTCCACTTTATCAAGCAACCTATAGGACAGTTGTTCAAGGGCAGCAAGCTGACCCAGAGCGGCGTACCACAAATCCAGGGCTGGTGCAGAGGGGGCTTTCCATTCTTTGACCACAAGTTTCCGGCCTAGCATGAGGACAGTCTGGATCCAGCTAGAAAGTGGAGGGGTCAGGTCACTTAAAGCAGAGGGGTCCCCCAAAATAAACAGACTAGGGGTGAACGGGATATTCTGGTCGACAATTTTCTCTACGATTGTATGTAGGGAAGACCAAAATGCCTGAATTCTTGGGCAACTCCAGAGCATGTGTACTAAGGTACCATTTTTGTCCCGACACCTCCAGCATTCCGAGTTATCAACCAAACCAACCTTATGCAGCCTGGATGGTGTCCAATAAATTCTATTCAGTATTTTGAATTGGATAAGTCGCGTTCGCAGTTCCCTTGACATTTTTTTCCCATTGCTTAGAATTCTGCTCCATTCTGCATCTGTGAATGACACCTTTAGATCAGTTTCCCATGTCATTTTAAGGGACAAAATATTAGAGTCCGAGGCCGTAAGGATCATAGCGTAGTAGGCAGAAGCTTCATGGCCGCGCCCATAGATTGTTAGAACCTTCTCCAACATGTCACCGCTCGGTGGGACTACTGAAGGGGAGCCGAAGACCTGCACCAGTAGGTGTCTTAACTGAAAATACTTCCACTGTTGATTACGTGGTAAGTCAAATTCCTGTCTAAGTGCCTCAAAAGACTTTAATGTCCCATCCTGGTACAAGTCTCCGAGCACCCTAATCCCTTTTTGCAACCAAAGCTTCCAAAGGAAGGGAGATTTATTTATACAGAGCTTGGGATTTTGCCAGATCCCGGCAGCCTGGTGCAGATACGGGTCGAATTTAAAAATCTTAGCTACTCTCTTCCAGACCCACTGAATGTGAGACAAAATGGGATGTGACTGATTCTGTTGGGCTAATTTAGCTGTGATGTATGCAATGGGTGAGAGAGGGGAGGACACCGCGCTTTCGAGGTGAAACCACGGGGGGGCTCTCTCCGGGGGTAAAGACCACTGTGCCAAATGCCTAATGGTAAACGCATAATGATAAAAAAGCAAGTTGGGCACACCTAATCCTCCTTTGAACTGGCCTCTGCAGCTTTCGCAGGTCCATCCTGGGGCGTTTATTATTCCATAAAAATTTATTACAAAGTTGATCAAATTGTTTGAAATAGCGCAAAGGAATTCGGACTGGGATAGCCTGTAGCAAGTAGTTGAATTTCGGAGCACAAATCATTTTAATGACGTTTGCCTTTCCCCACATAGAGAGATACAATGGAGACCACCGCTCTAAGTCAGCCCGCAATTTGTCCAGTAGGGGCTCAAAGTTTACACACAATTCTTTTCACATGATGAACACAAAAGACAACCAATGGATACAATGCCACATTTTTATTCATTCATGTACTACACAGTATAACACACACACACACACACACACACACACACAACCCTAAAGGCTTCTTCCATTGCGTCGTCTCTGTGTCCTAGGAGAATAGAAGTACTGATTACTGGATCTGTAACGCATTCAGAAAACTCTCTGTGTGTGAGGCAATTTAAGGCAAGTGTGGCTGAACCTGCAGCGTCAGTCTGAAGTGTTTCTGTCGTGCGGTTCAGTGTTCAGAGATGATCCTGCCGGTGCGATCACCATAGTGACCAAATAAACAAACTATCACACACACACACACACACACACACACACACACACACACACACACACACACACACACACACACACACACACACACACACACACACACACACACACACACACACACACACACACACACACACACACACACACACACACACACACACACACACACACACACACACACACACACACACACAACCCTAAAGGCTTCTTCCATTGCGTCGTCTCTGTGTCCTAGGAGAATAGAAGTACTGATTACTGGATCTGTAACGCATTCAGAAAACTCTCTGTGTGTGAGGCAATTTAAGGCAAGTGTGGCTGAACCTGCAGCGTCAGTCTGAAGTGTTTCTGTCGTGCGGTTCAGTGTTCAGAGATGATCCTGCCGGTGCGATCACCATAGTGACCAAATAAACAAACTATCACACACACACACACACACACACACACACACACACACACACACACACTCACACACACTCACACTCACACACACACACACGCGCACACGCACACACGCACACACTCACACACGCACACACTCACACACGCACACACACACACACACGTACACACAAACACACACACACACACACACACACACACACACACACACACACACACACGTACACATTCACACTCGCACACACACAATCGCACACACACACACACACACACACACACACTGATGATGTTCTGGTGTGTGTTCTCTCACAGGCTCTTCTACAGACTCATGATGTTGTCGCTCACGAGGTGTACAGTGACGAGGCTCTGAGAGTCACTCCACACACACACACACACACACACACACTGATGATGTTCTGGTGTGTGTTCTCTCACAGGCTCTTCTACAGACTCATGATGTTGTCGCTCACGAGGTGTACAGTGACGAGGCTCTGAGAGTCACTCCTCCTCCTACTTCCCCGTACCTGAACGGAGACTCTCCCGAGAGCATCAACGGGGACCTGGACCTGGAGAACGTGACGCGCGTGCGACTCGTGCAGTTCCAGAAGAACACGGACGAGCCCATGGTACCAGCGCTAGACCTGAGCAAACGACACACTCGTCATGTGACCACTGCACTGACACACAACCAGTGGAACAACACACTCGTCATTTCATATAAACTCTATTATGACATATGAGCTTTTCAAGCTAAAATTTCATTACATTTTTCTTTTGCATTATATATTTAGAATGTTTTGAGAAAACAGTGATACAATATCTTACAGAACACACAAATAAATGTCAGAGATAATAAAAGGTAGAGTGAAAAATTTAGAAAACACAAATGGTAAATGGCAGTTTTATTTTACATTGATTTTTTATGAGCTTTGCTTTTGCAACCTTGTTAACATTTCTAAATACATTGTTTACATTATCTATTTATCTTACAGAACAGAAAGAGTCAGTCAGCTCTTTATTCAACACAGAATGTTCACAGTAATAAACAGGAACATAATGTGAGAGAGAGATAATACAAATAGAGCATTTAAAATAAAATGCACACAAAAATAATAAAAGGAAATAAATAAAAACAAATGCATACATTCTGAAACTCTGTTTCATTGATTGGAATGGACGAACGGTGTTCGGTGTGTCGGTGTAATGAACCGGGAGTCCTGACGTGTGCCTGAAATATAACCGCCAGTTACACAGATTGATCAAACGAAGACACTGTTAGCTATCAGATCCAGTTAAGTAGATGGAGAGCTGTGAGATGAGACGCGTCACAGATGTGTGTGTGTGTGTCAGATGTGCGTGATATGAAGCCGTTCAGACGGATGTGCATCGATAACATCAGGTTTGTTTGTGTGTTGACAGGGAATCACTCTGAAGATGAACGATCTGAACCACTGCATTGTGGCCAGAATCATGCATGGAGGGATGATCCACAGACAAGGTGTGTGTGTGTGTGTGTGTGTGTGTGTGTGTGTGTGTGTTCTGCTTACGGAGGGCCAGTGCTCAGGTTATTCTGGCGCGGGTCGAGTGCAGAGGAAGTGTGTGTGTGTGTGTGTGTGTGTGTTCTGCTTACGGAGGGCCAGTGCTCAGGTTATTCTGGCGCGGGTCGAGTGCAGAGGAAGTGTGTGTGTGTGTGTGTGTGTGTGTGTGTGTGTGTGTGTGTGTGTGACACCGCGCTCACCAACGCTGTGTTCTTCAGGGACGCTGCATGTTGGAGACGAGATCCGTGAGATCAACGGCATCAGCGTGGCCAATCAGACGGTGGAGCAGCTGCAGAAGATGCTGGTGTGTGTGTGAGAAACACCATCACACACACACATTATCAGAGACAACACTGAGTCACTGCTGGGACTGTCTGAGTAAACCTGTGACCCACTTTAACGTTTCACTTCCTCCGGTCCCCCTGCACTGCAAAACATCATCTTAACACTCTTAAATCAAGACACATTCACTGGAGAACAGCAATGACTGAAGATATTAAGACTTGATTACTGAAAGAAAGCATGAAAATGAAAACAAGTTCAAATATCTGACAATGAGTCAGAAAAATAAACTGAATTCAAAAATTGAAACCAAGATTATTTTTCTGACCCCACCAACATATTTTCTTCTTGTTTTAAGCATAAAGTCACTTAATTTTGATACATTTCAACTATCAAGTATCAACTATCGAGGTTAACCTGAAACTAATGATCATAACGTATTAAGCCAATGAACAGAACAGACATCATAATCAGCACAACATGCATAATTTAATATATTGAGACTGAAACGACATTTGACACACATTTACTCATATTCTCTAACCTAATCCTAAACCACACATCAACCCTGGCAGGAAACCTTCTGTGTTTTTCCAGTTAAACAAAACTTAAACACACTCTCACACACATGACTGTTGTGTCTGGTTACTGTGTTTGCATCAGAGGTGGGTTTGAGTCATGTATTTGTGTGTGTGTGTGTGTTTTCTCACAGCGCGAGATGCGAGGCAGCATCACCTTTAAAATCGTGCCCAGTTACCGCAGCCAGTCTCTGTCCTGTGATGTAAGTGTCCCCCAGAGCGCCACCTTCTGGCCACCCCTGGAACTCCAGCAGTGTGTGTTTGACTAGTCTTCCTGTGTTTCTGTGGCGTTTCAGAAAGATTCCCCGGATCTGTCCAGACAGTCTCCTGCCAACGGACACTCCAGCGTCACCAGCTCCATCTTAGTAAGACAACAGTCTACAGAGAGTCCTACAAAACCACAGCACAATGCATTATGGGTTCATATGGTTAGATGAAAGCTTAGACTCTTTTCTTGCAGTACTGTGGATTGTAAACACTGTGATGTTCAAGGGAAAGGTCACCCAAAAATGAAAATCTATAATCAGTTAGTTTGCCTCATGTCGCTACCCATAAGCTGATCAATGTTTATATGTGGACAAAAGCATAAATCAAAACTGTTGATCGTATAAAGCGATCGTGTCTCTTCAGAAGATCTGTATTACACCGCTCCATTCTTATGGGTTTATTTTACCATCCCTTTAGTTTTGGATGAAGAGACTTTCAGTTAGAAATATCTTCATTGAATGAAAGTCTTACGTAAAGTTATTTCATTTTTGGGTGAAAAAACCCATTAATTGTATGTTTTAACCGTTTGAGGGCGTTTTCAGACCTGTAGATCATTTGCTTTGTTCCCAAATAGGGATTTAATCTATTAATGTGTCTTCTCGGTTTGGTTCGCTTTCACAAGGCAACATCTCGAGGCGTACCAAAATCTGTTTATGCAAGTCACATGTGAGTAAAACTGTGCTCTTATTGGTCAGTTTCCTCTACGTCAGTGACACGTTCTCTCCGCGAGTTTATTGTGTCTTTATCTTTAGTAACCGAAACTCAACCGAAGCTCAACCTTAACTCAACCTAAACTCAACCTAAACCTAACCGAAGCTCAACCTAAACTCACCCGAAACTCAACCGAAGCTCAAACTAAACTCAACCGAAGCTCAACCTAAACTCAACCGAAGCTCAACCTAAACTCAACCTAAACTTAACCTAAACTCAACCTAAATTCAACCGAAGCTCAACCTAAACTCAACCTGAACTCAACCTAAACTCAACCTAAACTCAACCTAAACTCAACCTAAATTCAACCGAAGCTCAACCTAAACTCAACCTGAACTCAACCTAAACTCAACCTAAATTCAACCGAAGCTCAACCTAAACTCAACCTAACTCAACCTAAACTCAACCTGAACTCAACCTAAACTCAACCTAAATTCAACCTAACTCAATCGAAGCTCAACCTAAATTCAACCGAAGCTCAACCTAAACTCAACCTAAACTCAACCTAAACTCAACCTAAATTCAACCGAAGCTCAACCTTAACTCAACCTTAACTCAACCTAAACTCAACCTAAATTCAACCGAAGCTCAACCTTAACTCAACCTTAACTCGACCTTAACTCAACCTTAACTCAACCTAAACTCAACCTAAACCTAACCGAAGCTCAACCTAAACTCAACCTAAACTCAACCTAAACTCAACCTGAACTCAACCTAAACTCAACCTAAATTCAACCTAACTCAATCGAAGCTCAACCTAAATTCAACCGAAGCTCAACCTAAACTCAACCTAAACTCAACCTAAACTCAACCTAAACTCAACCTAAATTCAACCTTAACTCAACCTAAACTCAACCTAAATTCAACCGAAGCTCAACCTTAACTCAACCTTAACTCGACCTTAACTCAACCTTAACTCAACCTAAACTCAACCTAAATTCAACCGAAGCTCAACCTAAACTCAACCTTAACTCAACCTTAACTCAACCTTAACTCAACCTAAACTCAACCTAAATTCAACCGAAGCTCAACCTTAACTCAACCTAAACTCAACCTAAATTCACCCGAAGCTCAACCTAAATTCAACCGAAGGTCAACTTAAACTCAACCACAGCTCAACCAAAACTCAACCACAGCTCAACCTAAACTCAACCGAAGCTCAACCGAAGCTCAATCAAAACTCAACCACAGCTCAACCGAAGCTCAACCTAAACTCAACCGAAGCTCAACCTAAATTCAACCGAAGGTCAACCTAAACTCAACCTAAATTCACCCGAAGCTCAACCTAAATTCAACCGAAGGTCAACTTAAACTCAACCTTAACTCAACCTTAACTCAACCTTAACTCAACCTAAACTCAACCTAAATTCAACCGAAGCTCAACCTAAACTCAACCTAACTCAACCTAAACTCAACCTAAATTCACCCGAAGCTCAACCTAAATTCAACCGAAGGTCAACTTAAACTCAACCACAGCTCAACCAAAACTCAACCACAGCTCAACCTAAACTCAACCGAAGCTCAACCGAAGCTCAATCAAAACTCAACCACAGCTCAACCTAAACTCAACCTAAACTCAACCGAAGCTCAACCGAAGCTCAATCAAAACTCAACCACAGCTCAACCTAAACTCAACCGAAGCTCAACCTAAACTCAATCGAAGCTCAACCTAAACTCAACCGAAGCTCAACCTAAACTCAACCGAAGCTCAACCTAAACTCAACCGAAGCTCAACCTTAACTCAACCTAAACTCAACCTAAATTCAACCGAAGCTCAACCTAAACTCAACCTTAACTCAACCTTAACTCAACCTTAACTCAACCTAAACTCAACCTAAATTCAACCGAAGCTCAACCTAAACTCAACCTAACTCAACCTAAACTCAACCTAAATTCACCCGAAGCTCAACCTAAATTTAACCGAAGGTCAACTTAAACTCAACCACAGCTCAACCAAAACTCAACCACAGCTCAACCTAAACTCAACCGAAGCTCAACCGAAGCTCAATCAAAACTCAACCACAGCTCAACCGAAGCTCAACCTAAACTCAACCGAAGCTCAACCTAAATTCAACCGAAGGTCAACCTAAACTCAACCTAAATTCACCCGAAGCTCAACCTAAATTCAACCGAAGGTCAACTTAAACTCAACCTTAACTCAACCTTAACTCAACCTAAACTCAACCTAAATTCAACCGAAGCTCAACCTAAACTCAACCTAACTCAACCTAAACTCAACCTAAATTCACCCGAAGCTCAACCTAAATTCAACCGAAGGTCAACTTAAACTCAACCACAGCTCAACCAAAACTCAACCACAGCTCAACCTAAACTCAACCGAAGCTCAACCGAAGCTCAATCAAAACTCAACCACAGCTCAACCGAAGCTCAACCTAAACTCAACCGAAGCTCAACCTAAACTCAACCGAAGCTCAACCTAAACTCAACCGAAGCTCAACCTAAACTCAACCGAACCGGTGTGAATCTGAGTGCGATTGCCGTGTTCATATATGCCTAAACGCACCGAACTAAGGGAGAAAACGCACCAGGTTCTGAACCAAACAAGTCAAGTGTGAAAACGCCCCAAGCCGTCGGTTTTTCCAAACACAAAATATTTATATTTGAAACTGAAAGTTAGTAATTGTACAGTTTATAAAGAAATCTTGTCTATGCAGGATCTGCCATCAACTATTCAGCCCAAAGGAAGACAGGTGAGAGACAGCTGATCACATGAGTGTGTGTGTGTGTGTGTGTGTCTCAGCTGCTCGACCTGAAGATCTGTTCACACCGAGAACCACCTGACAATGTGACTCGAACCGTTCATCTCAACACACTGTCTCTGAGAAACGTTCACATCCCTGAACGAAAGCGAATCTCTGGAGTTTTTTTTCTGCTGATTATGCGAGAAATCCCGAGTCCTGCACTCTGATTGGCTGCTGACAGCTTCAGAAAACCAGATATTTAACATCAGTCAGGGTTTTTTGTTGCATCACTTTGTCCACGGGAGATTTTTTTGAATGCATATTTCCTCTTGTGTTTGTGTTGGGTGTGAACTGGCCTTTGATTCACCCGACTGCAACATCCTGCCATTTCCTGTCCATGTTAGGTCTGTTCTACTGCATGATGTGTGTGTGTGTGTGTGTGTGTGTGATGCTTTCAAACCCTTAGATCTCCAGACCTGCAGTCAAGGATAAAATGTTTCGCAAGGTGAGTTTCTCGGACCCAGTAGAGCAGTTCCACTCGACCCACAGACCCGGATTCATTTCCCATCTTTGATTCCGAGTCTCCCATCAGGCTTTGCTTCTCTAGTTGGTGCTTTAGACTCCCAGCATCCCTTAGTGGCGGTTCATACACTAACCCTCCTGTGGTGCGATTGGCTCCTCCCCCCTCAGATGATTGGCTTCTTAGACACGCCCATGCTGTCTGTCAGTGGGGTTTGCTCACATCTGATTGGTTGACTGTGTGTGTGTGTGTGAGTGACACGCCGTTACATTATAACTAGGGCTGTCGGTTCATCTTCAGTGTTTTATGTGGCTGTAATTCAACAACAGAACGCAGTGAAAGTCTATCGATTGATTCACTCGCTTGATGCTGTCATGTCTTTGAGTGATCTTCAGCTGGCATAATAAATGATTCATGTAATTCCTATCAAATGTTCAGTTGATTGACAGCCCTAATTATAATCTTTTCTTGTATGACCTGTGAACTGATCTCAGACCTGATGTTAACTGGCTGTAGTTCATCAAGGCTTCACAGAACAAAGGTTGTTCTCTTTTAAAGAGACGCTCAGAAGATTATTGCAGAATCACTTCAACAAAGGAAATTGTTAAAAAGTTATAGAAGTTTAATTTAACTGTAAAGCTAAATATTATGCTAATATATATTTTACTAAATAATTTGGACCCTAAAATTGCTAAAAAAAATCAAAGCTGTACGTCAAAACATGTTGTGTTCCATATTTGAAGTTGATATAAAAAAAAAATGTAGGTTTTAAAGTACCGTTTCAATGGTAACGTGTTTTCAAAACTTTTCACAAGATGTATTTTCATTTTAAGCTTTCGAATGATACCTAATTTATGATGATTGCTAAAAAATATGATTGGGAAAAAAAGTTTAGTGTTTTCCCGACACATGTGATCTGGTGTGTGCAGATTTACGTGCGAGCGCAGTTCGAGTACGATCCCGCTAAAGACGACCTGATTCCCTGCAAAGAGGCCGGGATCCGCTTCCGGGTCGGTGACATCATCCAGATCATCAGCAAAGACGACCACAACTGGTGGCAGGGAAAACTGGAGAACACCAAGAACGGCACAGCAGGACTCATCCCCTCCCCAGAGCTGCAGGAGTGGTGAGACACACACACACACACACACACACACACACACACACACACACACACACACACACACACACACATCATCACAGCTGCAGGAGTGGTGAGACACACACACACACACACACACACACACACACACACACACACACACACACACACACACACACACACACACACACATCATCACAGCTGCAGGAGTGGTGAGACACACACACACACACACACACACACACACACATACACACATCATCACAGCTGCAGGAGTGGTGAGACACACACACACACACACACACACACACACACATCATCACAGCTGCAGGAGTGGTGAGACACACACACACACACACACACACATCACAGCTGCAGGAGTGGTGAGACACACACACACACACACACACACATCATCACAGCTGCAGGAGTGGTGAGACACACACACACACACACACACACACATCATCACAGCTGCAGGAGTGGTGAGACACACACACACACACACATACACACATCATCACAGCTGCAGGAGTGGTGAGACACACACACACACACACACACACACATCATCACAGCTGCAGGAGTGGTGAGACACACACACACACACACACACACATCATCACAGCTGCAGGAGTGGTGAGACACACACACACACATCATCACAGCTGCAGGAGTGGTGAGACACACACACACACACACACATACACACATCATCACAGCTGCAGGAGTGGTGAGACACACACACACACACACACACACACATCATCACAGCTGCAGGAGTGGTGAGACACACACACACACATCATCACAGCTGCAGGAGTGGTGAGACACACACACACACACACATACACACATCATCACAGCTGCAGGAGTGGTGAGACACACACACACACACACACACACACACACACACACACACACACACACACACATCACCACAGCTGCAGGAGTGGTGAGACACACACACACACATCATCACAGCTGCAGGAGTGGTGAGACACACACACACACACACACACATCATCACAGCTGCGGCTCATGGAGCGTGTGTGTGTGTTCCTCAGGCGTGTGGCGTGTATGGCGATGGAGAAGACCAAGCAGGAGCAGCAGGCGAGCTGTACGTGGTTCGGCAAGAAGAAGAAACAGTACAAAGACAAATACTTAGCAAAACACAACGCAGGTAATGAGCTTCTGCCGTCACACACACACACACACTCACTCACAGACTCACTTACACACACACACACACACACACACACACACACACACATATATACACACACACACACACACACACTCACTCACTCACACACTTACTCACACACACACACACACATATACACACACACATATACACACACACTCACTCACTCACTCACTCACACACTCACACATACACACTCACTCACTCACTCACTGACACTCACTCACTGACACTCACTCACTGACACTCACTCACTCACTCACTCACTCACTCACTCACTCACTCACTCACTCACTCACTCACTCACTCACTCACTCACTCACTCACACACTCACTCACTCACTGACACTCACTCACTCACACACACACACACACACACACACTCACTCACTCACTAACTCATACACACTCTAAAGTCATTGCCACAGCAGAACTGAGGCGAAGTGTTCCTGTTGTTGCGCTGGTTTTCTCTGATGATGTCATATTGTTGAGTTGCGTGTGGAGAGCCTGATGAGTGTGTGTGTGTGTGTGTGTGTGTCAGTGGTGCTGTACTGTAATGTGTGTTTAACTGACCCCTGTCCACTTTACACGCTGTCTCCCTTTAATGGCCCCGCATGTAAGTAACTAATCGTGTCGATCGTCTTCTGCTCTCTGCAAAGTAACAAGCGGTTGCTGTGTTTTTCGTGTGTGTGTGTGTGTGTGACCCACATCAGCTAGTACTGAAACGAGCTTGTGTTTTCCTCTCATGTGTCATGTTGAACTGCACACTGAGACTCGACACACACTTCAGGCTGGAACACACCGCACACCTGAAGAGATCGGAACACACACTCACTGACTTGCATGTTTGCTAGCAGACTCTGATCATTAATCAGCTCAAAATATCAACGTTAAACATGTTTGATCTCCTCCAACTGGATGGAATCACAGTCTAAAGTGAACAATCAGTCTAAGATCAGATCTGCACATTGACTCTGACTTCCGGCTACTAGCGTGTCGACTCTTCCGGACAATCCTGAACATCTGGGAGACAGTTGTGTGTGTGGTGTGTTCCAGCCGTTCCAGTAGTTCACCGTCACTAGAGCTGCAGGATTGATCGGGACTAAACCCATTATTCGTCAGTGACGCACGCCTCTGTGATCAGAACACTTCGATTGATTAATCATGATTAATAAACACACGACTACGAAACATATGGGGTTCTTTAAGCCTTCTTACTATTTTCATGATAATAGAGTCTATTTATAATAATGCCCGGCAACGATTAATCACGATTATATATATAAATACACACACATGCATGTATATCTTTAAGAAATATCTACATGTAAATGCTGTATATATATATTTATGCATGGGTCAAAGATGAAAAAGGGGTTTCAAATATATATATAAAAAAAAAAAAATTATACACAGCACACACACATATATTATGTAAACACAACCTTTTATTTTGGATGTGATTAATCATTGTCCAGCACTAATATTTATAGTTCAGTGCTAATCGACATTATCACTGTTATCACTGGATAGAATACTATGAAATAATATGTTGTGCGCTTTATTCTGTGTGAGAAGCACATCTCACAGAGGGATGTTTGCAAACAATCAACTGAGTAAAAGCGTGTTATTAAATGTTGTCTTTTGTTGGACAAGAGGTTCATAAATGCGTCTCATGCTTGGAAAGATGTTTGACACGATGTTTGACACTTTTTCAAATGCACTTTAAGAAGCGACTCAAACTCGCAGTGCTTTCAGAGTGAGCCGCGTTTACTGAGCCGTGCTTCACTGACACGCTGCACATTATAAAAGAACCGCAGACTTTGAGATTTCAGAATCACAATAAGCCAAACTGGTTTAAGTGGGTTAGTTGCGATTAATCGTGCAGCGCTAACCATCACTCGTCATCATTCACTCGCTCTGGACACGCATGAGCACAGAAACACAGAATGTGCTGCACTTTATTCCATCATTCTGCAGGTTTCATTGTAATAGAGCAGCATGAACATTCTGCTAAACGTCTCGGTGACGAGTAAACGAGGACAGAATCTTCTAGTCAAAGCATTAATGTATCTCACGCAACATTAAAAGAATTCATTTTGGCATGTCTCATCACATTTGAATGGTGTGACATCATTTCCTGTGTCACGTCCCTCCATGCACGTCACTCACTCGCTGATCCAGCTCTCTCTCTCCTCCAGTGTTTGACCAACTAGATCTAGTGACGTATGAAGAGGTGGTGAAGCTGCCCGCGTTCAAGAGGAAAACGCTGGTGCTGCTGGGTAAGAGACCGCACTCAAAGCTGCTCCACAACAACACGATCAGTGATGGAGACATCAGAGACGAGACTCCTTCAGATTCGGCTGTAAAGACAAGAGAGTCATTATTCAGTGAACAGGGAATGTTCTCAGAACAAGGGTCTCTTTGCAGTGTTAACCGAACGTTTTTACAGTAACGTTAATAGAACGTTCGTTCAGAGTAATCTGGTCTTTAATAATGTTTTTAAAACATTAGCACAAAAACATTATTTATACATTGATCATGGAACTGAAACAGTTGGACGTTCATCTAACATTTAAATGTTGCTACTTGTTTCAAAGAACATTCAAAAGTAACAATCAGAGAACATTCAAAAGTAACAATCAGAGAACATTCAAAAGTAACAATCAGAGAACATTCAAAAGTAACGATCAGAGAACATTCAAAAGTAACAATCAGAGAACATTCAAAAGTAACGATCAGAGAACATTCTAAAGTAACAATCAGAGAACATTCAAAAGTAACGATCAGAGAACATTCAAAAGTAACGATCAGAGAACATTCAAAAGTAACGATCAGAGAACATTCAAAAGTAACGATCAGAGAACATTCAAAAGTAACGATCAGAGAACATTCTAAAGTAACGATCAGAGAACATTCTAAAGTAACAATCAGAGAACATTCAAAAGTAACGGTCAGAGAACATTCAAAAGTAACGATCAGAGAACATTCAAAAGTAACGATCAGAGAACATTCAAAAGTAACGATCAGAGAACATTCAAAAGTAACGTTCAGAGAACATTCAAAAGTAACGATCAAAGAACATTCAAAAGTAACGATCAGAGAACATTCAAAAGTAACGATCCGAGAACATTCAAAAGTAACGATCAGAGAACATTCAAAAGTAACGATCAGAGAACATTCTAAAGTAACGATCAGAGAACATTCTAAAGTAACAATCAGAGAACATTCAAAAGTAACGATCAGAGAACATTCAAAAGTAACGATCAGAGAACATTCAAAAGTAACGATCAGAGAACATTCAAAAGTAACGATCAGAGAACATTCAAAAGTAACGTTCAGAGAACATTCAAAAGTGTAACGATCAGAGAACATTCAAAAGTGTAACGATCAGAGAACATTCAAAAGTAACGATCCGAGAACATTCAAAAGTAACGATCCGAGAACATTCAAAAGTAACGTTCAGAGAACATTCAAAAGTAACGATCCGAGAACATTCTAAAGTAACGATCAGAGAACATTCTAAAGTAACGATCAGAGAACATTCAAAAGTAACGATCAGAGAACATTCAAAAGTAACGAGAACATTCAAAAGTAACGATCAGAGAACATTCTAAAGTAACGATCAGAGAACATTCTAAAGTAACGATCAGAGAACATTCTAAAGTAACGATCAGAGAACATTCAAAAGTAACGATCAGAGAACATTCAAAAGTAACGATCAGAGAACATTCAAAAGTAACGATCAGAGAACATTCTAAAGTAACGATCAGAGAACATTCTAAAGTAACGATCAGAGAACATTCAAAAGTAACGATCAGAGAACATTCTAAAGTAACGATCAGAGAACATTCTAAAGTAACGATCAGAGAACATTCTAAAGTAACGATCAGAGAACATTCTAAAGTAACGATCAGAGAACATTCAAAAGTAGCGATCAGAGAACATTCTAAAGTAGCGATCAGAGAACATTCTAAAGTAACGATCAGAGAACATTCAAAAGTAGCGATCAGAGAACATTCAAAAGTAACGATCAGAGAACATTCAAAAGTAACGATCCGAGAACATTCAAAAGTAACGATCAGAGAACATTCAAAAGTAACGATCAGAGAACATTCTAAAGTAACGATCAGAGAACATTCTAAAGTAACGATCAGAGAACATTCAAAAGTAACGATCAGAGAACATTCAAAAGTAACGATCAGAGAACATTCAAAAGTAACGTTCAGAGAACATTCAAAAGTGTAACGATCAGAGAACATTCAAAAGTGTAACAATCAGAGAACATTCAAAAGTAACGATCCGAGAACATTCAAAAGTAACGTTCAGAGAACATTCAAAAGTAACGATCCGAGAACATTCTAAAGTAACGATCAGAGAACATTCTAAAGTAACGATCAGAGAACATTCAAAAGTAACGATCAGAGAACATTCAAAAGTAACGATCAGAGAACATTCTAAAGTAACGATCAGAGAACATTCTAAAGTAACGATCAGAGAACATTCAAAAGTAACGTTCAGAGAACATTCAAAAGTAACGATCCGAGAACATTCTAAAGTAGCGATCAGAGAACATTCTAAAGTAGCGATCAGAGAACATTCTAAAGTAACGATCAGAGAACATTCAAAAGTAACGATCAGAGAACATTCAAAAGTAACGATCAGAGAACATTCAAAAGTAACGATCAGAGAACATTCTAAAGTAACGATCAGAGAACATTCAAAAGTAACGATCAGAGAACATTCAAAAGTAACGATCAGAGAACATTCAAAAGTAACGATCAGAGAACATTCTAAAGTAGCGATCAGAGAACATTCTAAAGTAGCGATCATAGAACATTCTAAAGTAACGATCAGAGAACATTCAAAAGTAACGATCAGAGAACATTCTAAAGTAACGATCAGAGAACATTCTAAAGTAGCGATCAGAGAACATTCTAAAGTAGCGATCAGAGAACATTCTAAAGTAGCGATCAGAGAACATTCTAAAGTAACGATCAGAGAACATTCAAAAGTAACGATCAGAGAACATTCAAAAGTAACGATCAGAGAACATTCAAAAGTAACGATCAGAGAACATTCTAAAGTAACGATCAGAGAACATTCAAAAGTAACGATCAGAGAACATTCAAAAGTAACGATCAGAGAACATTCAAAAGTAACGATCAGAGAACATTCAAAAGTAACGATCAGAGAACATTCAAAAGTAACGATCAGAGAACATTCAAAAGTAACGATCAGAGAACATTCAAAAGTAACGATCAGAGAACATTCTAAAGTAACGATCAGAGAACATTCTAAAGTAGCGATCAGAGAACATTCTAAAGTAGCGATCATAGAACATTCTAAAGTAACGATCAGAGAACATTCAAAAGTAACGATCAGAGAACATTCAAAAGTAACGATCAGAGAACATTGTAAAGTAACGATCAGAGAACATTCTAAAGTAGCGATCATAGAACATTCTAAAGTAACGATCAGAGAACATTCTAAAGTAGCGATCAGAGAACATTCTAAAGTAGCGATCATAGAACATTCTAAAGTAACGATCAGAGAACATTCAAAAGTAACGATCAGAGAACATTCAAAAGTAACGATCAGAGAACATTGTAAAGTAACGATCAGAGAACATTCAAAAGTAACGATCAGAGAACATTCAAAAGTAGCGATCAGAGAACATTCTAAAGTAGCGATCAGAGAACATTCTAAAGTAACGATCAGAGAACATTCTAAAGTAGCGATCAGAGAACATTCTAAAGTAGCGATCAGAGAACATTCTAAAGTAGCGATCAGAGAACATTCAAAAGTAACGATCAGAGAACATTCAAAAGTAACGATCAGAGAACATTCAAAAGTAACGATCAGAGAACTTTCAAAAGTAACGATCAGAGAACATTCAAAAGTAACGATCAGAGAACATTCAAAAGTAACGATCAGAGAACATTCAAAAGTAACGATCAGAGAACATTCTAAAGTAACGATCAGAGAACATTCAAAAGTAACGATCAGAGAACATTCAAAAGTAACGATCAGAGAACATTCAAAAGTAACGATCAGAGAACATTCTAAAGTAGCGATCAGAGAACATTCTAAAGTAGCGATCATAGAACATTCTAAAGTAACGATCAGAGAACATTCAAAAGTAACGATCAGAGAACATTCTAAAGTAACGATCAGAGAACATTCTAAAGTAGCGATCAGAGAACATTCTAAAGTAGCGATCAGAGAACATTCTAAAGTAGCGATCAGAGAACATTCTAAAGTAACGATCAGAGAACATTCAAAAGTAACGATCAGAGAACATTCAAAAGTAACGATCAGAGAACATTCAAAAGTAACGATCAGAGAACATTCTAAAGTAACGATCAGAGAACATTCAAAAGTAACGATCAGAGAACATTCAAAAGTAACGATCAGAGAACATTCAAAAGTAACGATCAGAGAACATTCAAAAGTAACGATCAGAGAACATTCAAAAGTAACGATCAGAGAACATTCAAAAGTAACGATCAGAGAACATTCTAAAGTAACGATCAGAGAACATTCTAAAGTAGCGATCATAGAACATTCTAAAGTAGCGATCAGAGAACATTCTAAAGTAGCGATCATAGAACATTCTAAAGTAACGATCAGAGAACATTCAAAAGTAACGATCAGAGAACATTCAAAAGTAACGATCAGAGAACATTCAAAAGTAACGTTCAGAGAACATTCAAAAGTGTAACGATCAGAGAACATTCAAAAGTGTAACAATCAGAGAACATTCAAAAGTAACGATCCGAGAACATTCAAAAGTAACGTTCAGAGAACATTCAAAAGTAACGATCCGAGAACATTCTAAAGTAACGATCAGAGAACATTCTAAAGTAACGATCAGAGAACATTCAAAAGTAACGATCAGAGAACATTCAAAAGTAACGATCAGAGAACATTCTAAAGTAACGATCAGAGAACATTCTAAAGTAACGATCAGAGAACATTCAAAAGTAACGTTCAGAGAACATTCAAAAGTAACGATCCGAGAACATTCTAAAGTAGCGATCAGAGAACATTCTAAAGTAGCGATCAGAGAACATTCTAAAGTAACGATCAGAGAACATTCAAAAGTAACGATCAGAGAACATTCAAAAGTAACGATCAGAGAACATTCAAAAGTAACGATCAGAGAACATTCTAAAGTAACGATCAGAGAACATTCAAAAGTAACGATCAGAGAACATTCAAAAGTAACGATCAGAGAACATTCAAAAGTAACGATCAGAGAACATTCTAAAGTAGCGAT